TTCATATAATATCTAACTCATTAGGGGAATTTATTTATCACAGTGGGTCAGTTGCGACAAATAGATTTTGACAAAAAGTGAACAAAAGCTGAGATTTGCAGCAAGCTAAACATTTCCACAATTGCAACAAACTCCAAATATCTGCTGCTGTTCTTTGGAGAATATTAAAACTCGTAACTAATGATTATTCAAGGACATGGTAAATGCAAGACTAATAAAAAAATCTGTAAGGTTTCATGTAAGTCAATCATTTGCATTATTCTAGAGCAGTATACTGTATCTGCTTTAAGGGACAGGGCAGTCATGTTCAGTGAGAATTAAAATTTGCACAAGTGGGCTTTCTACATGATGAGCACCTACTAATGCTGTGTCATTGCGAGTTTTATTACAGACCCCGAAAAAGAGACACAATCATTCATGTATAATGAGTAAAGGAGTGGTGACAGTAGAGTTCACAGCATTGGGAAGCAGCAGTATTTAGAGTCATAGACTTAGGAAGTATGTAACCCATCTTCACCACCTGCTTCAGATAGAAAATCTAGGATTTTCCTGGTGCCCAAATTTCTGAAGTTTATTAAACAGGTTTAGAGGCACAATTGTATTAAATGTTGAGCTGTAGTCATTAAACAGGACCCATGCATAGGAAGCAGGAGCCTCAAGGTGCTACAGGATGGAATGAAGGCAAAGAGAAACAGCATCACCTATGGACCTATTAGTCCTGTAGCAAACTGGTAAGGGTCTAACTCAACACTGGAAAGATGGTTACAAACCAGTCTCTCAAAAACATTCATAATAACTGAGGTCAGAGCCATGAGCTATAATCATTCAGCCAACTGACATTAGGTTTTTTGGAACTGGAGTCATCACTGCAGATTTAAAACATGCATGTCACGATCAGAAGTCCCTCCTCTTAAGGGTGCTTTCCCATTTTAGTTTGGATTTTGTGAGGAGGGGCTGCCTCCTATCCAGTCCCTACCTATTTAAACCAGATGCTCCTACCATTCTGGGCTCAACTTTGGAAGATGGACGCCCAGAAGCCCGCCTACCAGCTGGTCCAGGAGAGACCCGACGGCATAGGCTTCACCACAGCATCCTGACCATCTGGGTTTATTCCCCATTCCTGCACCTGATCCTACTCCGGTTTTTAAACCTTGTCTACCTGCCCAGTTCCTCGTCGTCTCCTCCTTCTGTCCGTAATATTTCTGGATTATACCATCTGCATAGGGTCCTGACCAATGCATCATAACAATGCAAGAACTTTACACAGGTCATGACATATTAAAAATGGCAGTAAGAGCAGGAACGAGTGATAGGCACAGCACTTAAGAGTTGCTTTGGGCACTAGATCAGGTCACGCTGCCTTCCTGCTGTGTTCTTTGTGTAGCAGATTTGTGTAGGAGACACTTCATGCTCCTGACTCTCAAAAGGTGGCTTCAGGGGCTCCACAACTGTAGGTAGACTCGGTTGATT